GTTTCACATTCAGAAATGTTTTTTCGATATCGCTTGAAAGTCCGATATTATGTGTACGGAATCGAAGCAGCATTTTGACTAGGTCATTATTGATTGACGGTCCGGTTTCCAGGCATTCATTTAAACTCGGTTGGTCGCTGCATTTCGCACTGCAGTTATATACTACTCTAATCGATGTAGTAGACCATGGAGTTAAAATCTTATTTTAGCTCCATGCTTGAATTAAGTATCAATAAATCGCAAATCGCTGTTTAGTGGTGGCCAACGTTCGAAGAAATGAGTTGCCGGGAAATTGTATTCCCAAGGACCAACCAAGGACAGTGCGCTTGTACCAACTTGTATGCACTATCAGTGTCTATGAAAACCATTAGATTCCTTAAAGTTTTGGCTATTTGCATTACAGTACGTTGGAGACATACTAGTCTTGTATCCTTTGCCTAGTTTACAGAATAGCTCTGGGGGAGTCTGGTAGGCGCCCATTATTCTCAGCTCGGACGGGCTGTGAAGAGTTTTCCAGCACCGATCAGTGATCTCTCAATGCCCCTGGAACGTACTCATTCAGAAGTGTAGAGTAGTGGGGATCGTTACAAGGGAATGACAAGTACAGTTCTGGTTCAAGTAGAGATTTAGTGGTACGTAACGGCGAGTTTGCATGGAAATTGTAAAGCGGTTGACTTCTGATCCCTCCTGTCTAACATAAAAATGAGCGAGAGGCAATTAAACTACATGTATAAAACTGGCGACTCGTAGGTAAACATTATGGCATATATGGCATTGACGACCACCAGAGTTGATGCTTTTCTTTTCCCCAGAAATTTGATGTGCTACGAGAGACGGCATTCGAGACAGTAATGTAGTACTCTATTTTACAGACCTTTGAGATTCCCAGTTATCATATATTGCTTTTGTAACTACATTGGCATACGAACTAACAATATCACATACATGAATATAAAACTTTACATGAATTTTGGCGCAATGAATAATTTACAGATGAAATAAATTCAATGAACGCTAACCTTGCAAGGCTTGGAATTATTTTAAGATGGTAAAATATAGTAAAAATAGTAAGGAATTATCCGAGTACTAAGACGGAGCCACACGGCACCATCTAGTCATTTGTGCGCCTTGAAAGCTGTCTCTAATGATGCCCAGCATTCTGCTACCATAGCTTTGCGTATGTGGCAAGTAAACACATTGTGTGGATACACCGTATCTTGAAATACGCTTTTGTTTTACCGTTATATTATCAGTAATTATTGGCAGTACTCAAGGCGTGGTGGCCTGTATAATCAAACTCAAGCAATCACGTGATAACTTGCACTGAAATCTAAAACCAGTATGGGCGAGTAAACGTCACATGACAATGTGTCAATTGTTCTACATGTCACGTGACGTAGCATACCATTGTATCTGCAAATGAAATGCATATATAATGAATTGAATATTTCTCTGAATATCGTTTGAACTTGTGTCCTCAGATATCGAGGCACCGGTTCATAAAACAGTGTGTTCGTCTCGACATATTTGCGTTCACATAGCACCGTCTTCTCTACCAGTTTGTGTTGCAATGTCGATCAGATTCCGTGTACTGCTAACTGTTGTTAATACATTGGTAGTGATTGAACTTTTCTTAATAGCGTTCCTGCTGCATGGCTCTAATATTAACATCAATAGACCAGCAAATGTCATGCACGAACCATAGAAATAAAATGAGTTTTTGTAATCACCAGTTTTGTCGTATATGAAACCTAAATAGAAAACATATATGATGATAATTAACTAAAGACAGCAATCCCAAATAGTTGATATAAGTTATGCTACAATTCAACCGAGAATAATTTGACAAAAATTATTATTCACTCTACAAAGTAGGGCACTGATTGTCAGAATACATGAACATATGTTAGCCGCCAGCATTGGGCATATCCTACATGTCATCATTTGACCGATCTGAGTCCCAAATACGTGAACATATCTTACCTCCCAGCGTAGGACCTATCTGAGCACAGAGTCCCAAAATACGTGAACACATCTTACCTCCCAGCGTAGGACCTTTCAGTGCCAAGGGTCCCAAAATACGTGAACATATCTCACCTCTCAGCGTAGGACATTTCAGCGCCAAGAGTCTTAAAATACATGAACATATCTTACCTCCCAGCGTAGAACCTATCAGAGCACAGTGTCCCAAAATACGTGAGCATATCTTACCTCCCAGCGTAGGACCTATCAGAGCACAGAATCCCAAAATACGTGAACATGTCTTACCTCCCAGGGTATGACTTATCAGATCACAGAGTCCCAAAATACGTGAACACATCTTACCTCCCAGCGTATGACTTATCAGAGCACAGAGTCCCAAAATACGTGAACATATCTTACCTCCAAGCGTAGAACCTATCAGAGCACAGAGTCCCAAAATACGTGAACATGTCTTACCTCCCAGCGTAGGACCTATCAGAGCACAGAGTCCCAAATACGTGAACATGTCTTACCTCGCAGCGTAGAACCTATCAGAGCACAGAGTCCCAAATACGTGAACATGTCTTACCTCCCAGTGTATGACCTATCAGAGCAGAGAGTCCCAAAATACGTGAACATATCTTACCTCCCAGCGTAGGACCTCTCAGAGCACAGAGTCCCAAAATACGTGAACATGTCTTACCTCCCAGTGTATGACTTATCAGAGCAGAGAGTCCCAAAATACGTGAACATATCTTACCTCCCAGCGTAGGACCTCTCAGAGCACAGAGTCCCAAAATACGTGAACATGTCTTACCTCCCAGTGTATGACTTATCAGAGCACAGAGTCCCAAAATACGTGAACACATCTTACCTCCCAGCGTAGGACCTTTCAGCGCCAAGAGTCCCAAAATACGTGAACATATATCACCTCTCAGCATAGGACCAATCAGAGCACAGTGTCCCAAAATACGTGAACATGTCTTACCTTCCAGCGTATGACTTGTCAGAGCACAGAGACCCAAAATACGTGAACATGTCTTACCTCCCAGCGTATGACTTATCAGAGCACAGAGTCCCAAAATACGTGAACATGTCTTACCTCCCAGCGTATGACTTATCAGAGCACAGAGTCCCAAAATACGTGAA